AGAGAGGGTTGTGTTTTCTGACACTTGGTGAGTTCCCTGGAACACCGGGGACACATATTCATGTATAAAAGACGTTCAAAAGTGTATTTTGCATGATAGGTCACCTTTAAGCTAAATATATGTGAGTGGAAGTATACATTAAGACACTGTGACAAAGAGAAATGAATTCACATGACACCTGTCCTTATCTATCCAGACTGAAAACAACACAATCCTTCAATCAACACTGTATAGAAGATATGATATCATCGAGTATACAAGCATCATCTAAGATCCTATATCCATTGCTAGTGGCTTCTTATTGGACTCAATTGTCAAAGGTAGGAGGATTTCTTAGTCAGTTATAAGCAGATTAGATGTGTTTATAAAAAGACAGCAACATAGAGCATAAATGAACAATTTATTGGACTTTGAGTGCAGCGGCAAGGTGTACAATTCAAAATGATGGCTGCACCATTTGGACAAAAAACGACATTCAAATGATCAACATCTCTTTAGCTCCATCATTTTGCACTAGTCCAGATTGCGTGATTAATTGAGCTATTTAAAAGCTTCCCTGAGGAACACTGGGCACCCATCTCCCTGTACTAAAACCCTGAAATGAGAGCGTCACTCATTCACACTTCCTACAAGCACCTGGCAGCAGAAGTATAAACACAGGTCGCTGTTCTCTCCTTACGCTCGGCCACAAGGAGCTGCGTCCTGTCCTCTGCTTGCTATGAGGCCAGAGTACAGAAATAGAGCGGCAGCTAATGGCTGCAGCTCGCTGTGTTTGTGCTGCTGTTTATCTGGATCTCTCATCACGCCACAGCCTCATTAGCACACACCGGGGAGATTCCTACCAGCACGAGGAGGAGGAGGAGGAGGAGGAGGAGGAGAAGACTGGGGGAAGGTGGCACATGGGGAGGTACACAGACAGGAAGTGGGTGTAATTTCCTCAGGAAGCTATCAGAGGCATTTCTTGTATGACCTATCAGATTAAAAAGGAGAGAGGGAAACAGAATGCGAGACAGACGGAGAGAAGTGTAGAAAAGGCAGAAAGTCATAAAGGTTGAAAGGGTTAAAAGCCCACAAGTGTTTCTGTTAATATTACAGACTAAAGTGCATACATTCACACGGGAACCAGAAGAGGAAGTTAGAGCCTGGCATGGATTAGACCCAGAGATAAGAGAATGAGGAACATGAGAAAAAGTTTGAACAGGAAAGGCAGCATTTTAAACACCATCATGTTATTAGTTAGTAAGTTGGCTTTAACACTAAAACACCACCAAATGAATAAATACAAATGTTTGATCTTCAAAACCATAAAAGTTTGGTTATACTTTTATGACTATTATGCTCATGTTCAGGTTCATATCAGTATGTAGGCTAGTGTCTCTACTGGGACATGTTAGTGGAGCATGCTCATACTGTCAAGTCACAGCGCGTGCCGGATGAGAATGTCTGGCGTGCCAGATTTGGCCCGCGGGCCGGCAGTTGATGGTCTCTGACGTACAATGTGTTGGAGCGCTAGCCAATAGAAGCTCGAGTGTTACATAGTTCTGTCACTATGCTACAGACGTAAACAAAGGAGTCCAATGGAGGCATTTCAGGCAGGGGAGTAAACTCAGCAGAGCAATTACCGTAATTTTCGGACTATAAGCCGCGCCTTTTTTCCCATTTTTCGACCCTGCGGCTTATATAACGGTGCGGCTAATCTATGGATTTTTACAGCTAACAGTTGCGTCTCGCGTAGCGAGAATTGGAGTTTGATTTCGCCCTGAATGTAGACAGTGGTCTCTGTGTATAGGTAGAGGACTTGGTGGGAGAGAAAGATTGTTTTGGACATTTCACACCTACATGGAGTTCTTTTGGGAGGTTGTAATTCCATGTTTGTGTAGACCACGAACATGTAAGTCACCGTCATAGTCTGGAACAGGTCAATATGCTTCTTATTAGACTGTCAGTGTACGTATCATTGATATTTCTGCTGAGGAAAGTGTGTGATGTCAAAGTGTGTGTGGTAGTTGTGTGTGTCGTGTGTGTGTGTAGTCGAAGATGTGTGGGTGTGTTAGTGATGTGTGTGTGTGCGATCTGCTAACGGGGCAGACAAAATGGCTCACGATCGAGAGACAAGTGTAGACGGGTCGCGTCGGTTCGTGGCAAACAGGTTTTCACCACACCAGACCGCACACGACACACGACCAACAGACACACACACCACACACCCAACAAAAAACAACAAACACACACACAGACCACCACAACACACACCACACACAGCCCGCACAACACGCACACACCACACAACAAAAACACAACACACACAACACAAACACACACACACAACAAGCACGCGCGGCACGCACACGTAACGTAAGACGACTGTGTACGATTTCGCAACTGAGAGCACTTCAGCACGAGTTTGTGTCTGAGACCTACGGAAAAATAAGAACCAAATGTTAAAAGACGTCTGCCAAGAGTGCGATACACCAGGATGCGGAACATTAAAAAAAAGAGAACACAGAAAGGTGCATTGACACACAAGAAGAAAGGACGCGTCACACAGGTGAGAACAATTAAAGAAGAGGTGGAGGAAGGGAGGAGTGATCCAAAGGGACGAAGAAAAGAAGCAATCAGATATCCCAGTGTATATCCGATCATGACGATGTCGGTCTCAGTAACAGGCCAGACATCTTCAATTAGTTTGTCAAAATCAATAAATAATCGTGCTAAAACTTTTGCTAAGAACAGTGTGGTTTCACCGACATGTAATATTATTCTGGAATGTTCATGTTCCTGTGATATGTTGTTGTGTCAACACGCGTCGTATAACACGTCTTATAGTCTATAGATGTTGTTGTGGAGAACAGGACCATCTGGCAAGATTGTAGCATGTTCCTTTTTGAGGTCTCTTTTGGGTGTCACAAATTTTCCTTTGTACGCCTCTTTGGAGTCCTCTCTCGTTGTCTCCTCCCTAAGGGAGAGGTCCTGCTGTCTGCACGTATCTACGGCACAATTTAGTTTCTCTATTAATGTGAAATTGTCGTATCCATTCACTGGTGTTTACAACCTTTACCGTACACAGGATATTATTTCTTCCACTTGATGCTCCTCGGTTGTCAGGACACCCTTCGGTAGTCCCTTCACATAGCTACTCTCAGTCCGTCAGCGCTGAGCGTCTCCTGTCCGTTACGTACGCGTGTCGTGAAAACTCGCTCACTATTATTCAGTCCCAAGTAGGCATTCACACACTCGAACACAACTTGTAAAGACCTTTCTAGTTCTCCGGTAAAATACGAATAACCCTACACGGAAAGGATATCCACAAATGTCCTCCCCCAAAAATCACGTATATGGCATTTAAAGCCTGTATTCGCGTGGACTTTATATTTCGGCGTGTCGGTGTTTAACCTTACTACACATGTGATATATTCGCGTGACCCTGATATTCGGCGTCCACAAATTACAAATTTAATGGTCTTCCAGGCACGTGTCTCCTCTAACCACCTTTCTCTACGACAAACTTCTTCGGAGGGTAAAATAATTGTAAAGTTGTTTGGTCAACGTATAAAGTCATTGCATAAGTTCAAATCGTAATCGTTATCATCGATGTCTTGTACACGACACATTTGACCATGACATTAGTGTATCGCAAAGTTCTGTGTGTTTGAGAGTTGAAAGTTTGAATTTGCCACGCGAGGTCGCGTGCATGGGCCGTCACCTAGATGTCGTTACAAAAGTGGTCACCATGCCCTGTTGCAGGCGAGAGCATTCAGACAGACAGAACGAGAGCAGAGACAGGAGCATGGTGAGAGGCCAGTGAAAATGAAACGGCGCGATAGACAGAGTGAGAAAAGGTCGGGGAGGTCGAAAAGGACGCCTCGGGCGGCGAATTTCCACCCCCCGCGCTGGCCAGGTATCTCGGTATTCTCAATTTCCACCACCTGACATTGGACATTTTGGTATCTAATCCTCCA